ACTCCTGGGCTCAAGCAATCCTTCTGCCTCAGCCTCCCGAGTAGCTGGAACTACAGGCATGAGCCACCATGCCCGGCTAATTTTTTCTCTCTATTTTTTTTTTTTTAGTTGTCTGATTAATTTCTTTCTAATTTTAGTAGAGATGGGGTCTCGCTCTTGCTCAGGCCGGTCTCGAACTCCTGAGCTCAAACAATCCGCCTGCCTTGGCCTCCCAGAGTGCTAGGATTACAGGCGTGAGCCACCGCACCCAGCCAGCAAAGCGATCTTTAAGCAGTAGTAAATTCTCCTTTCCTCTGATCTGCCCCAATGGGGAGAAATGCACAGCCCTAGGAGGCCCCACAGCTCCCATTCCTCCACTAAGCACTGATATTCACTCCTCCTTGGAGGGTAGAAGCAGAAAGCTCCTGAATCCTTAAAAGCAAGAAATGTTCCTGTTTTCTCTTATCCTACTTGACTTGTCTGAAGCACATCGACCAGATGAGTTCCTATAGCCATTCTTTCAGGCAAACAATTGTACTTACTCTTGCTAAATGGCTTGTACTAGCAGACATAAAAAACAGGGCTACTTCCTGCAATTCCAAAATCCAAAAACCTCTGAAAACCAGAATTTTGTTGTAACTCTTTTAGCAGCAAAACTTGACATGCTATTTATAGTCCTATTTTATTCCACTTAGTAAGATTATCTCTGGAGAAATGTGTTGTATTTCAGAGTGCTGCCCAGACCTTCTTGAGGTAATACGAACAGTATATTCTCTGTGCTATGTTTTCCAGAAGTGCAGGATAATTCTGGATTCTGAGACATTTGGGCCCAAGGTTTCAGATAAGGAATTGTGACGGGACTGTGGACCTATAACATTTAATTAGCTTGCTCAGCAAGACAATCCCTTCCTATTCAGGCTTCTAACTGCCAGCTGTCCAAGTCTCTAGTGATGAGCACCAGCAGACCTCATATTATAAAACCAAAATGACTACAATTCTGTAAGCCTATTCTTCTCATAGAGTACCCACAGAAACAGTAAGAATGGGTCAATTCTCAAACACCAACTTTAAGAGTTCATAAGTGCAACATAAAAGGCAAGACAACATCCCATTTTATTTCAAATAATGGAATGAGGCAGAGCATTGAGTTTACTACTACTGCAAATCCCAGTACCGGCATTCAGGGAAGATGAAATTCTCACCATTCACAATCTCATGCCCAAAAAACATCTTCACTCCTGGAACACTTCGACCTGTCTGTACATTCTTCACTGTTACAGAAAAC